CTGCCTGCTTTTTGCTAACAAAGCATTAGTTTGAGAGTCACACTTTGGGGAAATAAAAGATTGTGCAGTTTGAATGTGGCAAGTGCATGAGCTGCCTTCTAAAAGCAGAGATTTACAGAAGGCAGGCATGCAGAAATTTGCCAACCCTGGGCATGCAAGAAAATAAACCCTTTGCATTTAGACTGTTGATACCTTTGGTGAGTGTTAACAAGAGGCAAAATCATGGGGAAGAGAGAGCCTGGTCTCAGGTTACCCCACAAATTGGTTAAGGCTGCAGAGAGGATTAGAGTCCCAGAGCCAGCCTAAGTACTGAGGTGTCATTACGGCAAAATCAAAGGTAACCGTGGGGCTTGGCAGGAAACTGTCAACAGCTACGGGAAAGAGCCAGCCCGGGAAGGAGCTCCGTGTCAGGATGAAATTCAGTCACCTTTATTTTCATTTCAGGTGAGGGGTCAAGCAGAAAAGCTATCCCCAGCGGCCTTTATTTACAGTTTTCAAGGGAGAGGCTGATGAAGCATTTAGAGGAAGAAGGATGAACCTGCTCCTCCCTCACTCGGGGAGACCGGCCTGATGACAGACAGAAGATGCTGTAATGGCACCAGTGCTGGGATTCACCTTTTATGAATGAAACTGCAGCAGTCCTAAGGAGGTTGTTAACAAAACTCCCAGGGGCTTGAGCGGGCCCAGGACTTCACCTATAAGATTTGCAGGGAGACCAAGGAAAAGATTGTCCCACCGGGACACTTGCTCTCTGCAGTGTAGGAGCTCACTCCCAGCAGTGAGGACAACAGCAATAGCTAGAAAATCACAGTATGTTCATGCTTGTTTTTTCCTCCTAGACAGGTTGTCAATTTGCTATAAAAACCTTGCAAGGTTTTTGTATTTCTCTGGATCTCCTGCTGATGAATGAATATGAAAGTACTAAAATGGTTTTGTGTTGTCAAGTCGGAGCAGTTACATCCATGCTGGAAAAAACACCAGGGACTGTTCTTTGGCCCTGAGCTCACATCCACAGCATCAAGCCAGCATTCCCCATGGCAGACAAGGTCTCATGGAAAATGTCCTCTAAAAAATGTATAGCCTCTGAGCCATGCCTGGGCATGGCAGAGTACTATTAGCCACAAAACATGCCTGGACCATGCAAAAAAATTCACAGCATGGACTCCTGCAGGTCACTGGCTGGGCCCACCACCTGGTCCTGTTTAATGCAGCAGTAGAAATACAGTCTGTGTGTACATACTTGGCATTCAGTATTTTCCTGTGTTGCTATCAAGTAAACAGTAGATGACTTGCAAGGGAGTTTTAAGACCTTGCAGCTTCAAGCTGACCAGCATGGGGAGGCAGAGGGTGATGGCACCTCACCAGGACACAGCAAGGCACAGCTCTGGCTCCTCCAGGAACCACAGGCTGCAGCAATGCTAGGAGCCAAGTGCCTCCTGCCATGCTCAGAAATCCCCATCCAGAGCCAGAAACAGAAAACAAAAGCTGGAATTTCTTCTTTTCTACTCAGACATGAGAAATCTTCCTTCACCCTCCCTCCTCTTTAAAGACCTAAACCCTCTCAGCAGCCAGTTTTGCAAGGGTTAACCAGCATGAAATGAATGCGGAGAGACAGTCCGGGACCATAATCACTTATTATTTTCAGGTAATATGCTTTATCTCTGACTAATCTCCTCATCTGGAGAAACACTCACTGCAGACAAGAGTCACCAAGGTTATCTCTGATGATGGGGCTCTACGGACTGCTGGCTGCGAGGGACCGAGGAGAGGCCAAGGAGAGGACTTCAATTATGGCCTGAACTATGCTCTGGTAGCTGAAAGGCCATTGTTTAATCTACTAGAAATCATCTATTTTAGCAGATAAAGGGATTACTTGGGTTTTCTTTTCCCCAAGAACAGCGTGTTATTCCAACTACTAATGGAACATTTGGTATTTAATTAAAGAAAAATCACAGGGAGAAGCAACACAGGCATCAACATCACTTCTGGGGAAATTCAAATTGATTGTCACCCTTTGATGCTGCTCAATCACCTCTATCTCACTCACCCTTCCTACAGCCCAGATTAAATCATCTGGTTCTCTCCATCCTGCACATTTGATGATTTATTCTTTTTTTTTTTTAGGGATCTCATCCAAAACTTGGGGGCTGCACAATGTGAATTCACTGCTCTGCAGAAACCTCCTGACTTGTCAAGAGCCAGATTACCCATCAAGAGGAAAATGTGGAAATTTGGGTTGGATTTTGCCTTTTCTTCTGCAGGTTTGTTGGTAGTTGCTGTCTGGCAGGGTTCTGGCTGCCTGGCCCATTAGAGTGATCTGGTGGTGTAGGTCCAGGGTCTGGAAACTAAAAGGCTCTTTGTTGCTCAAGCATAAACTTGAAACTGCTCCATCTATAAATCTTCTGTTTTCCCTTTTCCCCTCTTGGTTCCCTCATACTTGCAATCCCTGTTTTCAGACAGGTTTGCCCTTTACTTTTTTATCCTGCAGACCGATGACTGAAGAGGACAGTTACAAGTCATTCTCAGGAGCTCCACTGTGTTCAGCAAATACAGACTCATTTTTTATGTTGTCCATCCCTTCAGGTCCACAGGCTGCAGACCCAAAGGATCTGTGAAGAAAGATGAAGAAGTAGCAGCTTACAAAGGCAGATGTAAATTCAGTATGTAGGGCTCCACAGCTCTGTTGAGAAAATCGTAAAGAAAAAAAAAAAAATAGATCAAAATGAACACCAATAATTTATTTTCTCCCACCACCAGCTTCTTATTCCTCTTCCCTTTACCATTACATTCAATTTATTTGCACACAGAGCAAGGACAGGGACCTACTGAGTAATCCGATCTCTGCTTCCATGATTTGTCTGTGCTTTTTCGTGACTGTTTCAGAGTAACTACACCCATGTGTGCCAGCTACATCCTCCCTTAGATCTCTGGAGAGGGATCTGTTGCTTTCCTGTGTGGTGAAATTTCTCAGATAAATGGGGCAGTCCATCTTGTCCACCCTGCTGCTACCTGCCTGTGTAGTTCTCACTCGTCCTCCCTTTCCTCCTTGGACTTGGACACATGCCATGAACTGTCACCACCACTGAAGATGGGATCATCCTCAGGCTCTTGATCTCCTTGTCTGACTTTGCCCAAAGTCTTTGGTGACTGTAACTCCATCCTTCACTTTCTACAGGCAGCTCCAGAAGTTGCTGTGAATTATCAAGTCACCCTGTCTTCTACCAGTCATTGTGTTGAACCAGTTGTTCAGCTTGCTCTTGACCAGGACTGCTGACCTCACCTCTTTATAATGTTTTTCAGCAGCTTCTTAGACATATCATATAGCCCCAGGACACTCCACACACCTATTGCAACACACTGGGTCAAATGACTTTTTGAAATTGTGCAACTGAAGTTCTTGATATCTCTGAACTTGTCAGTGACCAGCCTCTTGCACTGGTTTTCCTGTACTGTCCCTCTTGCCTTGTGGAAAATGAATCTACCTTCTGAGTTGTCCAGCAAGGAACACAGCAAGGAATTTGCTTAGGTATCAGGAAATGCACAGAACCTGGAAGGTCATCACCATGGGAATTTGCTCACTAGCATTCACTTTTCCTTGTTTAGGGGATCTTTTCTTTCCTGATAACATACGATTGACTGGCTGGGTCAATGACCCATACGACAGCCCCATGGATCCATTCTCAGCCCCTCAGATTCTTCAGTCTCCTGACCCTTCTTTGCTGCCTCTGCCAGCAAGATTCTTCTTGTCATCCTGCTCCTGAAGCGTTATAATCTCCCAAACACTGAGAATCTCTTCATCTCTTGATCGGTCATCTGTGAAGACTCTGGTAATATTTCACCCATCTTTAGTCTGTCCTTTTCTGTCCTCAACCTTGGTGTTGTGGAGATTACACTTGTTCTTCTTCCTTAGCATCTATTATAAAAGGCCACCTTGATTTGGACTTTCACAAAAAAGTTTTAGTGCTGCCTTGCTTTTTAAACCAAATCTCCTTGACTATCCTTGCTACTTGATCTTGCCCAGCTCTGAGGGTGCTTGCTCAGGCTACATCTTTTCACCTACACACCCTTCCTTAGCACTGGCCAGGTGGAGAAGTTTTTCCAACAGCCAGGCTCCGTGGCTGCCTGCTTTCTTTCTCACCATCCACGTCAAATGAATGTTGTTGAGACAGATGATGAGGTTATGACTGCAGAAGACCACAGCTCCAGGGGATACCCAGTGTTTACTCTTCCTCTACTTGCTATTTTTGGTCTTCCTAGATGCCAATAAGAGCTTTTCAGCTCTGCTGCCTGTTTAGTTTGCACTTGCACCTCCTCTTGCATATGTAGACTCTGTAGAGCCTCATGAAGCCTGCAGGCACTTGCCATTTTTGCTACTGTTTAGCATTGTTTTTGCCAATCTTTGGCATGTGCCAATCTGTCATGAACATCAATCACTGGGCACATGAATGGCTCACTCTCGAGGCAGGGCTTAGGCATGCCTTGACTGGCAGCAAATTCACCTGAAATTCTTCAAAGAAATCAAGGAAATTCTTCCTCAGTACCTGTCACAGGAGCCCATATGTCTGTAAGTGCTAAAGAATCTGTGCCACAGCCCTGAACTGAAAGGGCTGATTTCTGAAAGGTGACAAACCTGGAGCTGAGCAGGGTTTTCTTTTGACTACTGTGGTTTCTTCTGATGCCTCTCTCGTGTTCTGCCTCATTGCCTCAAGACAAGGTTTTCCCATATGGCACCATTATCTTGTCTGCCCACCTGCTTTTCAAAATGCACACAATACTATGCTGGTACATCTCAAATTTGTTCATGAGGAATGAGATTTTACCCAAAGTGACCTCAGATGCCTGTTTCTGCTGGCCAAAGCTTCCATTAGCAGCAATCCTTTTGCTGGACCACTTCTTCTCATCAGACACTGACCTAGTTAGAGTTGTCAGACAGCATCTACGTGGCCAAGAAGAGAGAACAGGGCTCAAAACATTTCTTGCCCATAGCCTCAATGGCAGACATGGCCCTGTGGGTCCCAGCACATGTTGCTCTGCACCTTCTGAGCCCTGAGTGGATTTTTGGCTTAGGTGAGTACAAGGTGCTCATCCCTTCTCATAAGAGCCACACTTCCAAGAGAGAGCAATTTTTACTTAGGCATCACAGTAGTATCTAGATTACCAAAATCACCTGCCTAGCTGGGCAATAAAACCTGGACAGAAATATCACTGAACTTGTCTGGACTGGGCAAAAATGAAGCACACTGCAAAGAGAGCAAACAGACTGAGGAAAACTCGGAGGCTGGAGATGGAATCCAGTGTTCAAGGCTGGACTGCTGGTGGGAAGTGGGAACATGGGAGATCATTGTAGAAAGCCCACACACATGAAGAAGGACTTAGGCTAAGGTTTCTCTTAGTTGCTGCCTTCTCTCAAGTATGTATCAGAAAAAATGTCCCACTTTGATTTCAAAATTGGTGGAGAATCCACCATAAATCCTGGTAAGTTGTTCTAATAATTGATGCACAACAGTAAAAACTGATACCTTGGACTTAATCCAGTTGCACACAATGGTGTTTAGAGCTGTCTGAGGTTCCTTAGGATATCTGAGGTGTCTGCAGTGCCTGACATACTTGAAACAGACCACTGGAGACTGCAAAACACCTCAAATAGCCCCAGATATCCCTGTGTGGGAAGCTGAACTGAGATCCTTCTATCTGTCCTCCTTCAGTTCCTCATTCCTGTTCCAAATTTGTTTTTTATCCTCATGCTTCTGCTCTGGCATAGATTTTTATAGATTGCAAACAAGTCACTCATCCTATTCCTGTATGTAATTAGAGTTCCTTGAGAAGCTTCAAGCTTAGCTCCACATTTTGTGCAGGAGTCTCTTCTCAGGAACACAGCTGCCATCAGTTTTATTTGCTGTCCTAGGCTCTTGTGTTTGAACAGCACACAACTTCATCCCTGTTATTTTACCCTGCTACTTATGATTCTATAGATGCAAACGTAATTTTATGCACTACCACTATGAAATTATTGTAACTCATAGAATCATGAAGGTGGGAAAACACCCTTAAGATTATTCTGTCTTTCTATGCCTCATTCACTCCAATATCTTAATAAGGAACAAATGATTGTTCACAGGAATCATAACAACTTTAAAAAAAAATAAAAAACAGAATCATAGAATCATCACAGGGGTTGAAAGGGACCTCTGAAGATCATCAGGTCCAAACCCCTGCAGAAAGACCTGAGGCAGATCACACAGGAACGCACCCAGATGGGTCTTGAAAGTCTCCAGAGAAGGAGATACTAATTATTCATTTCCAAAATGGACTCCATCACCCCATCAAGCTCAGATTTTTTTTGCCCTAAATGTGTCCTTTTACTTCTCCATATTGAAATACACCCTACCCATTTGCTCCCAGTTGCCATCCAGAGATCAAGGCAGCTCTGTGTCAGTGAACTGTCCTCTTCATTATTTAACACTCCATAGCCCCAGTTTCAGACTCCTACATATTTGGTCTACAATGATTCCTTATTTCCCCTGCAACTCAATGGTAAAAACCAAATAATGAACCAGTTTCCACAGGAGACTCAAGGATTCATTTTTCCCAGTGACATCTGGAGATCTCTTTCCAACCAGTTGGCTCCACTTAATTTGCATCATGTTGATTTTATACCTTTTTTTCAAAAATCCTCCCCCAAGATGGTATCAACCAAACACTTTCAGAAATCAGTTCCATCAAGAGTTGTTCACTGGTACTGGAGATAAACATGAAATTGATTTGACAAGGCCTATTTTCTATATACACACACTCATCTGCATAAATTTTATTGCCTTCCTTTAATAATTGATTGATCAGGAGATGTGCCCACACTAAAGGCACTATATGTGCCTTTAACAGTGACAGTCTTAGCATTACCCAAATCTTTCGCCCAATTCCTGTAAATAATGAGCCAATATCAGCTTTCTTAGTGCTCTCAAATCTTTTTAGTGTCCCAAAATGAAAAGCCAGCATTAATGGCCAACATGGTATGTTCCTGGTTCCAGGAGTTCTGACACTGTGACTTACTGGGATTGGCTGATGATTAAAGAATTAATTAATGCAGTTGCTGTTTAACATATCCCTAGTTATTAATGGGGCTCAAACTGCTCTTTCACCAGCCCCTGATACTAATACCCTATCTGATTTTCTCCCACAGATAAACTTGGAGAAGAAATGTCAGTTTAATACTCTCCTGTTCTCTGGTGGTAGTGGCCATGGCAGCTCCCACCTGTATCTCCTAATACTTTTGATTATTTTTACCTCAGCAGATCATACATTTATCTGCATGGTTTCCTATTCCCACTACTCATTCCAGGGCAGAAGTGGCCTATTTAGATGAATTAAGACCAAAGATGAATTAAGACCAAGAGATATTGGCCTTTCCTTTACTATGTAGGAGTCATCACTACAGGCCAACCAGCCCAGAGGACCAAGCTCCATTTCAAGTATCCCATTGCCCATCAAAAACACATATAAAGCACAAAGATGTCACTTTATTTCAGTCCAGGTCAGTTTTCAGCTTTTAGGAGGAAGGATGAAGCTCCCTATTTAACATTTTTTTTTTTTCCCAGAAAAGACACTATCTGATAGTACCAGGTCTTTTCAGCTTTTAGGAGGAAGGATGAAGCTCCCTATTTAACATTTTTTTTTTCCCAGAAAAGACACTATCTGATAGTACAAAGTTAGTCACATCTCATTGTCAGGTGGATTTTTTGTTGTTGCAAAAATTAGAACAAAGAAGGATTAAATTTGTGGGATCACAGTGGGGATTTCTAAATGCTTTTTATGAATCTTAAGCCCGAGGAGAGGCAGAAGGAATGCAGAGCCCTAAGAGCTTCTGTAAACATGCTTCCAAACACCTGGAGCGTGTGCTTAATCCATCTGCAAACAGTTGGCTTCCTTCTGCCTTCCACCAAGCTCCTCTTCCCTAAAAAATCCAGGCTTCCTAAAGTCCTAAAATCCTAAAGTCAGGCTTCAAGCCCAGTTTTGGTAAAATCACTTCTGACATGCAGAGTCATGAAGACTTTGAAGACTGGCCCTAACTCCTACTCCCAAAAAACTCTGAGTTTCCCACTTGTGACTGTCTCACTCTCAAGGTGTCTATTTAATCCCACTTTTATTAGGAGCACAGCTCCGGGTAGTTTACAGAGGTTACAAACAATGAAGCTTTTATCAAACCTTTGGCTAATCAGTCACTAACAAGCTCCCCTTCAGTGAAGGGCTAGGCAGGCCCCCAGGCTGCAACTAACCTGGGGGGGGGTAAAAAAAGGAAAAAAAAGAACTGGGGAGAGGGTGTTCCCCTTGATCTGGATCAGTGCCCCAGTCCCCAGCCACAGAAACACTTGTGAGAGTGAGCACAGCAGCCAAAAAAAGCAGCCAGGAGTGGACACAGCAGAACAGCCTCTTTCAGCAATGAAGTTCTCTCACAGCCTAAAGTGCTGGAGTAAATAGGCTTGTGATATACAATTATTTATTCCTTGCTTTGTGACAGAGTCCAGCAGCTCCATCATGCTCAGCACCATGTAAACACAACCAGAAAAATATCTGCTATTCCAAAGCCTATGATCTTTTATGGAGATCATTAAGGAGAAACAAAACCAATCCAAGCCTGTTGTCAGTAGCCTGAAAAATTATGGAATGAGGACACCTCCCCAGGAAATGTTGTAGGGTCTGAAAAATCCAGATAGATTTAAAACCTCTGATCTTATCATAAGGTAACTTGGCAAAATTTGATCGCCAGAACTTCTGTCCAATAGATGACTAGATACAGGGAGGGAGGAATATACATTATTATCCTTAGGTATGGGATAAAAATTACTTCAACCTGTACACACGTACACAGAACTGCCTTCCCAGATTCATGGCAATGAAACATCTACTGCATACCATCAGATATTCTCTCTCTGCTACCCATTTACAGGACAAATCAGAGGGTGAGTGAAAAAATAGACTTTATTAGAGCATATTGGTAAGTGTAAAGTACCCAGTCTAAGAAGAAACAGGCTTAGCTGTAAACAAGGCAGTGGTATGACAGCTTAAATCTAATTTGAGTTGTTCTTAGTCAATCACTTGATACTCTTGAGAGTGGAACCAAGGTTCTGGACCACTGGGAGAAAAAAGATAATTCTCCTGTCTTGTCAGAGGATGAAGAATTCATTCCCCATTTTCACTGATGGCTCTGGAGGAAGATAAAATCTGCACATGAAGAATTCTTTTATATGTGGGCCATCGAGTCACTGCCTTGCCTCTTGACAGCCCTAGGGAGAAAGGGAGACTTATATTGCAAATGCAGCCAAAACAAAACAAACCTGTGGTTCCTGCTTCACTGCCGCAATTCGGAGCCATTGAACAGACCCTGGTCTCTCTCCTGGTGAAGTCAATAGCAGCCAATATGGGTTATGATGTCCCGATTCTCCAACACATTCCCTGTGCCTAGACCTCAGCATCCTCAGGCAATGGAGAGATCCAGATGGGTGCAGGTATCAGTTCCTGCTGTGAGGCTGGGTGCTCAGGTCTGAAGCATTTTCAGGTTTCCGTGTTCAGCTGGAGACACCTGAGATCCACAACAGGAAAGTGAAGCCTGTACCTACATGTTCAGAGGAGCAGGGCCTGGGAGGCAAAGACAGTGTGTTCCCAGCAGGGAGAAAGCACTCTCTGCATGCACAGGGACAAGCAGAGCACCAAGGGGAATGGTGTGGCCAGCACCAGGCAGTGCCAGGGAGCACCTCGCTCTCCTGCAGCACTTTTCCTCGGGAAGCCTTGGAACACCTTCCAGGGCAGCTGGCTGGAGAAGTGAGCCCATAATGGCAGCTGGCTGGGGATAGAGTTCAGCCACGGCTCCCAGCTGCCCTGGGCTGCTCTGCCTGGCAGACCTTGCTGCCACACTCCTAGTGCCAGTGCTGACCAGTGTCCCAGCTGCTCGGGAATAACGCAGGAATTCCACAGCGTTGCTCAAGCCCAGCCCTGAACCTGCCCGCACTGATGGGCAGCAGCCTCAGACTCTTACCTTGAAACCGATTTCCCTTTAGCATTTTGGCACCTCCCTTGCCAGCTTCTCAGTGTGTTTCTGCACCATAAACGTCCCCCAGACCCCTCTGGAAGGAAGGAGCATTCGGGAAGGAGCGGGGCAGGGTGCTGGATCTCCCCGTGCCGCTCCCCTCCTGCCCCGGCACAAGGGAACAGCAACAGGTTTGCACTGAGCACTGAGGGTGTTTCGAGGCAACACTCTGTGCTACTTGCAGGATAACTGCATTAGGAAAATTAGACATTTTTACAGCCATCAAACCATCAAAGCTTTATTCTTTCCACTCTGCAAATGAAGTGTTGGTTTCCATATCCGTGCCCTCCCAGCTGTGTAATAACCCCTCTAAAGCTATTTTCGTTTCACCTTCCTTACTATTTGGTAAAGCGAGCTGGAGTTTTCTGAGGACATACATAATTATTGCAGCTATTTCAGCATTGTTTTCTCACCCGTTTCCTTTGTTGGAAGGAGAGAAATCAACCAAAGCAAACTGGAAAGCAGCAGCCCGTGTCTCTGAGGGAAACTGCCCTGCCGGGCTGTTCCTCTAGATGGCTCTGCCTTTGCCCAAATGCACCAATTTCCTCAAGGAAAAAATCGCAATTTCCAGCGATCCGGCGATACCACTGATTGCTCCCCTCCCTCCTGCGAAGATCACGGGGGTTTTGAGAAAACGGATAAAGGCAGATTTGTCGTAATTTTAGAGAATAACATTTTCGGCTTAGCTCTTCAAACGCGGAGGGAAGTTGCTCTTTAAATCCTACCTGCTTCTTGTCCTTTTGATGCCCTTTCTAGCTGCGACTTGCACATAAACTCCTCGTTTTAGGTGCCTGTTGTTCGCTCAGATTTCAAATCAGTATTTTCCAGCGCTAACCTTCTCCAGAGAGATGAGAGGTTACTATCAGTAAGAAAGGCAAGGAAGCTCAGGAGGGACAAGGCACCTTGCAAAACATAATGTCAAATTTCCTTCTGCTCTTCTTGGCTGGCTGAACACACAGGGTGAGCTCCTTCCCCAAAAGATGAAAAATAAAATCAGCGACAGAAACAAAATAACAACAGGGGAAAGAAAAAAAATAAACAACAAACAGAAAACCTTAAAAAAAAAGAAGAAAACAACAACAAAACAAACCAATAAAAAGGCAAAAAAAAAAAAAGAGGCAAAAAACCAACCAACCAACAAACAATAAAACCAAAATGAAACAAACAAACAAACAATAAAACAACCACAAAAAAAAATCCCAACAAATTAAAAAAAAAATCAAAATGCCAAAAAAAAGCCTCCAAAAACCCCAAACACCTGCCCTTACGATTAAGGGAGAAAATTCGAAATCATAATTCTTTATCACAATCTCTTTTAAATGATTCTCTGTACCCAAACTGTCTGTCCACTCGTTTTAAAACGAAATACCCTGGTGAGAATCCTCCAGTTATTCCATCCCTGCTCAGATCACGCAAGGGATGAAAATTTGGGATTGGAGGTAGTCCCGGGAAAGCTGCCCCGATCCAGCTTCACTGATTTACAAGTGGATTCTAAACTATTTTATCGATGTCATAAAACGCAAAGACTTTTCCCAAACGCTTCTACCTCCCCCAAAAATCCTGATGTCAAACGAAAACACCCGGCGCTTGCAACCCTGAGATGAGCGCCTTGTATCTCTACCTGGAAAGGGGATCCGGGGGCATTTTTTTCCCCCGGAGATAATTCAGTAACAATCCCATTTAAGTCCCGGGGATTTACATCTTCTAAGCGACCGACAAAGACTCTCTCAAACTCTCCCGCACCACTGACTGTATTTTTCTTGTTCTACCTCTGGGTCCGATCATGTGCTTTGCTCCGGACAAGAAGGATTTGCCGGAGCCGGTTCCCGTGTAAACCCCGGGGTGTCGGGATCGTTTGTGAATAACGAGAGCTTGTGTTTTGTTTTTTGGTGGCTTTTTTTTTTTGCTCTTGCAAAAGGATGGGCTTTCCCTCAAAGCTCGCCCCGAAGCACGAAGGCGAAAATCAACTTTCAGTCATTAAATCGCGCCCTTTCCTCCCGCAGGACGAGCGAACACGCTGATGTTGTTTGTTTGTTTAATTTCGGGCAATTCCTTATCCAAAGCTCATTAAAGCGCGATCTCAGCCGTGGCTGTTGTGAGACGGGCGGCAAAATTACACGTAAATAAGAGAGTTTAAGCGAATTTCAGCCTTCGCGCTCCGTCGGGGCGACCGCAGCGATGTTAATCTCCCCCGGACCTCAATTTCGGGGCCGGTTTCGGGGCCGAAGGGATCTGGGACGATCGCATCCGTGGGAAAAGGGGGCTCGGATCCCTTTGAGGGAAGAAAACCCTGGGGATGAGGGCGGCCGGGTCGGGGGGTGGCCGGGCAACACCAGGGCAGCTCGGAGAGACCCCCGGGAGGGGAAGGGAGCGG